GGAGGAGGAGGAGGAGGAGGAAAAGAAGGAAGGCCAGAGGAGGAGGAGGGAAGAAAGAGGCGGCAGAGGAGGAGGGAAGGGGAGGCATCGGGGATCCGAAGGAGCCACCAGTCCTCGGCGAGCTCGAGAAGCTCAAGGGTGCCCTTGCATCCTTGCCTCTTCGGTCCATCCATGACCACTTTCGATGGCCAGCTCCGCTCGAAGAGCTTTGACGTGAGCGTTCAGGGAGCTTCCACCCTTGTCGTGCATTCTTGGTTGGGCGCTTTCCTGGATGCACGGTCGCCTCCAAGGCCTGGCGGCGTCAGAGAAACTAGCGACGTGAGCAGGTTCGCCAAAATTTGAGCCGTGAACACTTTGGGATTCAGGGCTTTTGGGACTGGCCCCTTCGTGCTCGACGACAGCTCGTACGAAAGGATGTCGAAACGATCTCTCTTGAGGTTCTGGGATCAATGCTGCTTGAGGCGCTTGAAGGCATTCGGGGGGACCTGTGGGGGCTCCCTCTCGAGGCCACAGTTGGGTCCGACTTGAGAGTCTGGTCAGTAAACGCTCCAGGACAGTTCCAGGGGTCCAGTTTCGGTATCCTTCCTCGGACCTTGTTGAGGGGCGGGGGCGAGATACGTTTTTGGACCTCTGGGGAAATTCAAGAAGTACCCGTTGCGAAAAGTTGGTCCCGGGGATGGGGCCGAGAGCTCTTTTGGGACCCACGTCGTGGCAGAATCACAATTTCGGAGGGCGGTATGGTCTTCTATCTCTCTCTCTCTGTCTCTCTCCCTCTCTCTTGGGTTCCGTTTCCCTTGCAAGTTTTGTTGGGTTGGAGGCGATCGTACACACGTGTGCGCTGGCCGAACTGTCGACCGACCTGAGTCAAATCAGAGATGCGGCGGTCGGCGTTTCGGGGGAGGGCGCCGGACAAGCTCGACGACTGGAACGTCTGCCCGCGCGCACATGCCAGTTGTCCAGGACCGTCGAGTGTTCCGTCTTCCAGGGCAGGCGATCGCAAACATGGATTAAGAGAGCGTGTATTAGCGACGGGTCCAGTTTCCAGGGGAAATCGCGGATTCCCGCCGCCGAACGAGGCGGCACCGGCCGCATTTTGGGGAGGGCACCTCCCCCGATCCATGGAATTGGCGACCGCGCGCCAAATCCATGGATCACTAATCCATGCTTGCGCGCCCCTGAACATGCCAGTTGTCCAGGACCACGATGGTCGTCGAATGTTCCGTCTTTCAGGGTAATGATTGTTGTCCACCCCTTTCCCCGAGCATTTGCCTGTGTTCCTTTCCTGCCTACCCTCGGTGCTCCCCTCTGGCTTGGTATTCGATCTCCTGCCAATCCAGGCTTTAGTTGTCCTCATGTTGCAGTTATGGCGTTGGGCTCCGCAAGTGCGAGACAGGTGGCGTCATCCTCGCGTGGGTCAAGGCCGGCGTCCCGTTGCGCGCCTTACGGATCAGACCACATGGTGGTGCGCTATTGTGTTGGTCAAGTGCGAATCAGTGAGCGCACATGTCGCATGATATTTGGCACCGTTAGCGGAAGCTCAGTACGTTGCCAAGTTGATCGTTAAAGCAGACAGATTGCTGTATGTCGCACGACAACAACTGCACCTCCAACATTGCAATGCCAAACTCTATACTTGGTCAGATGTTATTGTCGTCTCGAGCGTGATTTCCAGAGCCCTCGAAAGAGTCGAATCCCACATCAATGGATAATTGTTGATCGGACCTTCGGCTCCTCAGAAAGAGACCGCGTGACCAAGCGATCCCATGTTAGCCACATCGGCATTCCCGTTTCAACCGGCAGCTGAGCATACGCATGTCGTGGCAACGCAGGCACCAGCCAGTCGGAAATGGAGTTCTGCTTGGTCACGGTAGAGCCATTTTCACAAGGGCAGGTCACGCTTATGAGGCACATTGAACCAGGAAGCCAGATTCGCGATGTAGCGTGTCGCGCTGGCAGCCCGCATAAGCCACCGCGTAAGGTCGCTACGCCGCCTCGCGTAAGGTCCGTTTTTCCGTTGCTTAGATGCTCGGGCGTTCCAAAAAGGGTTTGGCTTTCGATGGTAGAAAGAGATGTCATCTCTTCCTCGGCGGAGGGCGGCGGAGGTAGAACGAGGCCGCCGCCGCCAGTGGGAGCCGGCGGGCAGCGGAAGGCGGCGGACGCAAAAGATGCGCCCTCCCAGGGGATGAACCAGCTTTTGGGTTCAGGGTTTCTGTAATCGCCCACGTAATGTATTCTATGCGGCCAGCTTGGGGGGGGAGCTGGATGCGCATGTGTGGCCGCACGTGTCGCCAGCGCCCCCGACCCTCTCCGCAGTTGGCGCCTCTCTGGCGCGCAGCCTCTCCTCCTGTGCACCGCCTCCTTGTGGGCAGGGCCAGCTTCTCCTGGTAGAGGTGGTTTTCCTGGCACGCCTCGCCAAACATAAATTCAAATGCCGTTCAGAATATGATCGTTTGCTTATTCATTGTTTTGCCGATCGGCGCGGGCCTCCGCACCCCCCCCTCCCCCCCAAGGAGTAGATCTTGGTTGTTTTTGGCGCATGTTTCGAGCAGGTGGAGCCTCCCCCATGGGACGCACGGCTGCAGACAGTCGTGTGAAGCAGAGGCTTGGGGCCAGACCTCTCCCGTCCCCTCCGCCCCATGTAAGGATGCGCGGTAAGGATGCAAGGGCCTTGTAACGCCATGTTGACATTTTTCGAGTGGGGGGGGCAAGCGAAAGTTGCTAAGGATGGGCCGAAGGGGCAAAGCTGCAAGGGCAACCTTGGAAAACTCGCTCATCCTTACTGTGCGTGTCGGCTGTAAGAACACGCTCACCACGCCGTTCATAATCGGAACGCCCGGCAGGTCGGGCATCCGCCAGAAAGTGCGCTCCACAACCGCCTCGTGCCGGCACCCACGCAGCGCCGACCGCGCAAGCGCCCAACAAAACACAGACCGGTCATGCATGTTTGACGAGTCTTGCAGGCCAGGTCGCACCAGTGAGGTATGTTCGTGCTCTTCGTGCTCTTCGACTGAGAAAGAACGCCATAGGCATAGACTTTTGGCGTTCCGCGTGCGGAGCGCACAAAGGTTATGGCTATGCAAATCGGTATGATTGTTGCTGTATGATGTTCCAACCTACTTTAGCCTTGAGCACCAGAAAGAATTTCGAGCACCCAGAAGTCACCGAAACTGAAGGGTTTCCACGTGTCGGACCCTGGGAGGAGATACTCGATTATTTCTGGGATGCGGTCTTTAAGCACGATGGTAACAACATAATTCTAGCTCTGGTGTTGGAACAGCCGCATCACTCAGACCTCCAAGGTCATGCGTTTTCACCCACGACGCAGTCCCCCTGAGTTCTCGACCCCATGCTCAGGACCGGACGTTCGCAGCGGGTGGCTCTGTTTTGCAATGGCCCTGGGGCCCCCGGGCCCAAAAGCTGCCCCAGGGCGCTGAAATTGCGAAAGAACGCGCGTCGTTTTTGTTGTTCCCCCTCGCGACGCCTGGAGGCCAGGGAGTCACATCGGAGGCCCGCCAGGGCTGACCAGGGAGCCAGACAAGCAGCAAGCTCGAAGGGCGCCCTCGCAGAGGAGCCTCCCTTCCCCCGTCCTTGCTTCGTGTCCTCCTCCCTCCGCCTCCTCCTCCTCCTTGCCCCTCTCCCTCTCATTTCCTCGCCCTCTTCTTCCCCCTCCGTCTCACTTGTTCCGCCTCCCCCGCCTGTCCTCTTCATCCCTTCTCTCCTCTCGTCGCTGTCTCCTCCCTCCCTCCCTCCCTCCTTCCCCCCGCATCCTCTTTTCCCTTGTGCCCGCTGCTCTATCATGGACCCTCCTTCCCTCTTTTATTGTGCTTCATCAGCGGCACAATCTAATATCCTTGGTTTTCCTGTTCCTCAGCCCTCCTCTTCTCGCTCGCTCGCTCAACTCGGGCAAAAGATCCGAAGCCTATGCAATGTTCAGGAGCCGGAGTCAGAAAAGGCGACACTTGCTTACACTGTGATCCTCCTCCTCATTCACTAAGTGGTTCTCGGTGCCCACGGCCTTGGCGTATTGGTTGAAAAGACGGGACGTCAGGCCTCAATCTCCCTGACTACCCCTTGCGTGAGTGAGGGGGAGGGAGCCTGAGGGAGAGGGAGAGAGAGGGAAGGAGATAGAGAGAGAGGGAGGGAGAGAAAGAGAGAGGGGGAAGGAGAGAGAGAAAGGGAAGGAGGGAGAGAGAGAGAGAGGGAAGGAGAGAGAGGGAGGAAAGAAGAGAGAGAGAGAGAGAGGAAAGGAGGGAGAGAGAGAGAGAGAGAAGGAGGGAACGCGAGAGAGAGAGAGAAGGAAGGGTAGAGAGAGAGAGAGAGAAGGAGAGAGAGAGAGAGAGATAAGAAAAAAAGGAAGAATAGAGAGAGAGAGGGAGGGAGAGAGAGCGAGAGAGAGAGAGACGGAAGCGGCGCGGCAGGGCGGCAACCTCGAGCGCAGCGAGCATTGGATCCGCAAGCTGTACGCGTCAGGGTTCACTACGCCAAAGGTCGCCCGGGCGAAGGGTGAGGCGAGGGGGGTCAAGTCGAGTGCAGCCAACCCGCATGCAGTCGAGGGTATGATTAAGAAACCTCCTCCCGTAAAGCTGGGCCAGCGTTTTTGAACCAACCTGCCGGAAAGTTGGCCCAGTTTCTTGAGCACGTTGGCATCTCCAGCGTGAACAATAGAGAAGCCTGAAGGTAGCTAGACCAGGCTTGTTCGAGGAAGCCTCGAGGTAGCTGGCCCAGGTTTCTTACGTTTGATCTAGTAAGGATGCGCGATTTTCCAAGGTTACCCTTGCATCCTTGTCCCGTCGGCCCATCCGTGGCAACTTTCGTGGGCCAGCCCCACTGGAGAAACGTCAACATGGCTTTCCAAGGCCCTTGCACATTCACCGCGCATCCTTACTCTACGGGTTGACCGTAAGCCGTGCATCATGTAGGGCGTGCGGGAAGGTAGAGGGGTGCGTTTTCAGCACCGTTGTTGTTAAACAATTCGTTCGCCGATAAGTTGCCAGAGCGACACGACAGCGCCGGTGAAGGAGGAGGAGGAGGAGGAGAAAGAGGACGAGGAGGAGGAGGAGGAGGAGAGCAGGGGAAGAGGGCGAGGATGACAAGGGAGGTGGGAGGAATCCGATAGAGAGCTGAGGGAGGGGCATGAACATCTTGCACGGCTCTCAGCACCTCTGCGCTGCCCAGAACGGCAAGGACAAGGCAGAGGAGGAGGAGGACGAGGAGCGGTAGGAGGAGGAGGAGGAGGAGGAGGAGGAGGAGGAGGAGGAGGAGGGATGAGTCTTCACGTTTCTCGTATCCCCACTAGCCCTTTCGGAAGCCCTCCCCATGAGAGTCGACGGGAAAAGGGACGAAGAGGCACATGTGGTGAAGCAGAGCGGGCAGCCAGGGTGAACAGAGGTAACTATAGGAGCCAGGGGTGGCCTTGGAGGGCCTCGTTGGGCCGTCTCTGGGTCCCGCGTGGGGGCGAGGGAAGGAGAAGGAGGAAGAGGAGGAGGAGGAGGAAGAGAACGACGACTACAACGACGAGGAAGAGGAGGAACAGGAAAAGGAAAAAGATGCGGGCAAGGACGAGGACGAGGAGGACGAGGAAGAGGAGGAGGAGGACAACGAGGACGTGTGCAGAACCCTCCAAATCGCTTCTTGTAGCCCTCTTGGGACTCTGTTAGGGGATCTTGGGGCTCTTCTGGGGGCTCTGGGGCCCTCTTGGGAGCCCTCTTGGGAGCCCTCTTGGGAGCCTTGGAGGGCCTCTTGAGGTTATCGTGGAGGCTATCGATCCAAAGGGGGGCCATCAAAATCGCCTCCTGGGCGGTCTTGGGGCGCGTTTTGGGCCGATCTTGTGCGTTCGGGCAAGGGGCGCCTGCTTGTCCAGTCTGGCGGGCCTCCCCTTTGCCCTGTCTTAGGAGAAGGGAAGGGACCGGCAGAGGATGAGGCAGACGTGGGAATGGCGAGAGAGAGAGAGAGAGAGAGGAAAAGGGAACCGGGGAGATGGCGACAGCACGGCGTTGGGAAGAGAGGTGCCCTTTTTTCCAAGGGGTGGGGGCCGGCGAACATGCCGCAAATGGGAGCGCCAGGGGAATTGCAGGCCTGCTGGCGAGGTGCCGTTTGGGAGAGAAGCAAGGTGGTGCTCAGGAGGTGTGCGCCATTCGCCTCCATAGGGGCATGGTTGATGATGAAAACTGTCCCTGATCAGTTGACAGGGGCGGGGTGCAGTTGGGGAGCCTGGAAGTTCTTTTGTTCTCCGCGCTGATGGAGGCAGCCGCTCTCGCAATCATGCAGAGACGTTCCCGCCCGCTGAAACGGGTGAACACGGAGCGCATCGTCTCTGGACCTGACCACCCGCCTCGAGCTCGGACGATTTCGTCCGGGACATGGGCGTCCGCCCTCCGCCAGTGGGCAGTCCCTTTCCGCAGCGAGCGGGTGCTTGTCGAGCACCTTGGAAACATTGAACGAAGGATTGCAAAAAAACCCTTCGACGAAGGATTGCAAAAAAACCCTTCGTTGCAATCCTTCGTTGCAATCCTTCGTTTTTTTGCAATCCTTCGGACAGCGACGTGCGCGTGGTGCCGCCAGAGATCGCCTATGGCACTGCCCTGCGCGTGGCGGAGAGCGGGCCGTCAGCGCGCGATCCGGCCACGCCTGCGGACGCCGACCCACTCCCGGAGCAGTGGAGCAGGACAGGCGTCGGCCGGGCGTTGAAAACAGGGCTCCTCCTCTTCCTCCTCCTCCTCCTCCTCCTCCTCCTCCTCCTCCTCCCTCCTCCTCCTCCTCCTCCTCCTCCCTCCTCCTCCTCCTCCTCCTCCTCCTCCTCCCCCCCCTCCTCCCTGTGTCTCTGGAGGGCGCCGACCCATTCCCGGATGCCACGCACCCCTGCTCCCAATGGATCAGTCGTCTGCTTCCTAATCAGCGCTGTGGCGGGAGTGCTGTCGATCGTGAGATCTCCCACCGAAGCGGCTCGCGCGTCGCCGGACCGCCGCACCCCCGAGGAGAGAGCCGCAGCGGCTGCACCCCGGACGCCTGCGGGGGAGTTGACGCCGCGGCGCGCCCGCAAGTAGTGCAGGAGTTGCGTCAAGGATAGCGGGTCCTTGGCCCGGGACAACATGCGATCTGCTCGTTTTTTGAAGCACAAAATACGGTTGGGCTCGAGGCGGGCGGATCGAGCGAGTGGAGGGCCGAGGAGAGGGTAGGGGAGGGGCTTCAGGTCGGGTGTTGTCAGTCGTGCCCCTGGCCCGGGTGCCCCTAGGATGTCTTAAGAGGCCCCGACGGCCTCCCGAGCACCCCTCGGGAGGTCCAGAGGGCCTTAGGGGCTCCAGAATTGAGTGAAGGGCTGGGGGCACCTTGGGCCAAAAGCACCCCGAGCAACCCTCGACCGGGGAGGGGGGGGATCGAAGGGTGGCTGGTGCAGCGGAAAGCCCTGAGATTCTGGCGTGGATTCTTTTCACAACGGGTCTTTTTGCCCGAGCTCGGGCCCGAGGCCCCTCACGGATCTATCCAGTTCGAACATTGGCTCAGAAAGATGGGGTCCCGTCCAGGGTGCCGGTCGTGATTTGTCGCGACGTCGCAACTGCTCGCAACCTCGGATCTCAGGGACGGGAGAGGATCGAGGATCGGGGGTCGAGGATGGCAGGTCGAGGATGGAGTAACACTCCCAGAGACTTCCAGGGCACCTGGGAGGGCTCGCGGGGAGGGAGGGGCGAAAGGTCTTTCCAGGAATTCTGACCTTGGCTTCACATCCAGTGTGGAAGTCAGGAAGTCTACGGGTGCGGGCCGAAAGTGGACACGTCTGGCGGTGTTTGGGCGGGCCGAGTCTTCAATGGCGGCGACAGAGTTCCCACTACATGCGAGCAAGGCGAAGGGCCTTCTCAAGTGGAAGGAGACGAGGAAGGCTGGAAAAGTAAGGGGGCGGTGCATGTTATTTTCAGCATTGCCCTTTGTCACCAAGGGCTTCTGTCGCCAGCTCGTGCGCAAGTCCATGAGCGCAGCGTCGACGGACGTCATCGCCCAGCACGCCGAGCAGGTCACCTCGTGGCTGGGGCGGCTTCATCGCATGGGAGGATCCACCAGCTTTTGGCCAGGGTTGCGACTGCGTCTCCGCATACAGTCAAAACGATGAATTCAGGAACAGTTTTGGTTTGGAGGGGGCCCGCTGTTTCTTTGGTCCTTCCATGGTTGCTCCTCCAGCGCGCCTCGTGCACCAAGGCGACTTGGGGGCCAGAAGAGGGCTCGGGTCCTTCCGTGGCGTTCTTCATGGTAGGACCCTGCCTGTACCTTGTCGTCCTGTTCCCTCCCTCTTGCACGCTGGACAATTCGCCTTTTGGTTGCCCCGAATGACCACACGCAAGAGCGAACTGCCTCTGCCTCGCCGCCGACGAAAAAAAGGGTGCCCTGCCCGCTGCTGGGAGCCCGCCGGCGTGCTGCGCCTCCGCTCCGTCCGAAGCCTTGCTGTTCATGTTCCTTCAGCAGTGGCACGCCGATGGGCTTCCCCACGGCGGCGTGTTGTTGACCTGGCGTGTTCCGCTCCCCGCCTCTGCCCTCCCCTGGCATGCCGGCGAATGATCAGCAGGGGAAAAAACACACACAGACACAATGAATCGGCGATTCCCGGAAAATATGGGAAAATATGGGAAGTGGGGGGGAAGAAAAAAGCCCAGAAAATATGGGAAAAAATGTGGGATATCTTTATTTGTGTGTATTTATTTGTGTGTTCCAGTTCCCCTTCAAATGAATCAGCCATTCGGTTGCCCCGGATCGCCAGCGGCCTGAGCGGACCGCCTCCGCCTCTCGCCGCCGGCGTAGAAGTTTTGCTCCCCGGCCTGCGCGGGGGGTGCGGTGGGAGCGACTCGCAGACCCCACGGTAGGCACACCAGATAAGGGATTGGCCCACCAGCAGGTGCCGCGGGCAAGTCGTTGGTTCCCCGGCGTCCCCAGACACCCGTGTCGACCGAACCATGTGTCCCCAGATGCCTTGTTGCAGTAATGATTCCCGTATTTTTCCACTGTAGCAAGTGTTCCAGTAATTTTTGGGCTTGTATTCTGGATCGCCGCAAATGCCTGCGGATTAGAAGTTTGCTGCATCTCCTGACCCGCTCCACTGTTTCATATGTGCATCATCCTGAGGCCCCTCCGCCATCCCGATTTCTTTTTTTACAGATTACGAGAGGCGGGTTCGAGAATTCTTCTGGCAGGTACCCCCACCTCTTTCCGATCTCCTCAGCCTCCTCATTCTCACCACTACCATCCTCCCTACAACTCCCGCAGCCCCGTTCGTGCTCCACGGGTTGGCAGCACCTCCGGCATCGCGACCGAAGACGTTGAGCGTCGAATGTTTGCCGATAGAGCGCGCAGGTGCGGCGGATTCAATCGCATGCTGGCAGGCCGAATCTTTGCTCCCGATGCTTCAGAGGTCCTGGGCGAGACCATCGTTCAACCCTCCTCTTTTTCTCTTGTATATCCTCTCAGTTTCCCCTCGGCGCTATTCCCTTGTGCTTGATCGGTGTACCTTGGAGAGGAAGCAGACGGCATGGGCACGCCGATGCCTTCAACGTGCACGTGTCCATCGGTCCCGTTTCATGCCTTGACAGCCTTGCAAACAGTTATTTCTCAAGTTCCGATCGACCGGCCCACTGTCAACCTGCTGATGGGAGCGTTCGCAAGGAGCGGCAACATTGTCAGGACCTCAGGTTCGCCAGGCGTTGGGCTTGCAACTAAGCATTGTCATTGGATGATTGGATGTGCCCGAGTCCTGCAAGGAGATGGGGAAGATGTTTTATTGTCTGCGGAGCCTTGAGGAATGGACGGCAGGGCGTGATCGGGAAAGACTGAAGACAGCGGGAAGGCAGACATAATCCAGCAGGTGGGCTCGAAGCGCACGCACACGTCAAGCAGGTAGAAGGACTGACTCTGACGTGGTCGAGAAATGGTGAGGGGGTGCAGGAAGTTCAAGTGGAAGAACTGAAGACAGACACCGAGAAACGCCCAATTTCTTCAAACAATTGAAAAAGTGTTTCATATGTAGGGGGCGGCGAAAATCCATAAAACATTTGAACATGTTGGGAATCATGGAGGCTGTCTGTGTTCATTATCCCTGGCCCCCGTTTTGGAAATAGCGAAGGGATGGAAAGGCAGCCAGGGTCGTTCGAGGGTATAAGAATGGCCACATGATGCCAGCTGAGAAATTATAGTGTATTGTGTTGGTTTGCCCCTTTCCAATCAATTCTCGCGGGTCTTGACTGTGACAGCGCGGCGTTACTGATTTTGTGTAGGCGAACGGTTCGTTGATTCTGTCACACCGACCTTGGAAGAGCCAAGCCTGTCCGTTCCCATGTCCAGAGCATGTGGTTATTTGGAGGCTGCCTGAAGAAGGGCCCTCCGTCTAAAGTGCCAACCGTACAGCGTCATCTAGCGTTGCAATGTGCAATCAGCTACGTCATTCTACTTCATGCATTTGCGCTGCCCGGAAGAGCGTGGTACCGCTGTGTTTTGCGAGTGCGTCACCCCAACATACTTCTACTATATGTGCGTCGCCCCCCCCAGGGGCGACGCGCGCCCCGAGAAATCTTATAGTGCATGCGTCATGGCGGGCGCTTTCTGGCCACACCGCTCGGGAAACGATATGCTACAAGATGGGTACACTATATGTTCGGGTCGGACGCGCGCCTCCAATGAGGACATATAGTATTAGTATGTCTCTGTGCGTCCCCGCCTTCCGAATTCAATCCAGAGTTCTGCAGAGCTCGCTGGCACCCTTCCCGTGCGCACTGTCTGTCCTGGTGGTCGCAGGAAACTCGGGGCCAGTCGCGCAAGTCTAAGTCACAGCATGGCGACCTCCGTCTCCCCCCCCTCTATTTGTAAGTCAGGCGTGCCCCTGTACAGGAGGGATATCCAACAATAGTCCAAAAATAGTATAGTACGATTTAAGTATGTTTTATTACTTTTTGATATGTTTTATTTTCCGTCGAAAATCTGTCTGTAGGGGGACATGCCCCACCTAACTCTAGTTTGCAAGAACCCCTGAGCATGCTCCGGCTGAGCTGTGGCGCAAGGCCTTCAGCATCTTGAATATCCTTTGAGTTCTACGCGTCTCCTTTCCTCCCTCGTTTGCTTACCTTTCTTTCTGAATTGGCAACATCTCATGGGCGAGATACGCTGATGGCGCTCACTGGCGCTACTGAAAGGGAGCGGGAGGAGGGCATGCGGAAAGAGGGAGAGGGAGGGAGGGGCAATTGGGGAAGCTATGGAAAGAAGAGAAGATAGGCGAGCTGGCGCCAGGTCTGACATCTCACCTCTCCAACCCAGCCCTTCCTACTGCGCTGAATCCTTCCCTAATACAAGATGTGATTAATCGTCTGCTGTGCGATCGGGAAGGGATGCTTTTGAACATTGGAGGAGGCGGAGGCGGAGGCGGAGGCGGGGGAGGAGGAGGAGGAGGAGGAAAAGGAGGAGGAGAAGGAGTAGCAGGCAGATTGAGGTGGAGGGAAAGCAGCAGGAGCAGGAAAGGCAGCAGGACTAGGGGAAGGCGCAGGAGGGGAAAGAACCGGGGGGGAACGGCCACGACGGAGCACGAACCAGATCTGGAAGCGACGTGGTCCCCGCTGGAGCGAGAGCGGCGCCCCTCTGGACGACAGGAGCAAGGCACCCTTCCCGGAGTGTGGCCAGCGCGGCCCCCTGGGGGCGCCACGGGCTCCCCCCCCCCCACCCGTGCAGAACGCCCGCCTCCTCCTCCTCCTCCTCCTCCTCCTCCTCCTCCTCCTCCTCCTCCTACCTCCTCCTCCTCCTCCTCTCTCCTCCTCCTCCTCCCCTCCTCCTCTCTCCTCTCTCCTCCATCTCCTCTCTCCTCTCCTCCTCCTCCTCCTCCTCCTCCTCCTCCGCCCTCCTCCTCCTCCTCCTCCTCCTCCTGCTGCTCCTCCTCCTCCTCCTCCTCCTCCTCCTCCTCCTCCTCCTCCTCCTCCTCCTCTCCTCCTCCCTCCTCCTCTCCTCCTCTCTCCTCCTCTCTCCTCCTCCTCCTCCTGGCTGCTCCTCCTCCCTCCTCCTCCTCCTCCTCCTCCTCCTCCTCCTCCTCCTCCTCCTCCGCCTCCTCCTCCTCCCCTCCTCCCCTCCTCCTCCTCCTCCTCCTCCTCCACCCTCTCCTCCTCTCTCTCTCTCTCTCCTCCTCCTCCTCCTCCTCCTCCTCCTCCTCCTCCTCCTCCTCCTGCCTCCTCCTCCTCCTCCTCTCCTCCTCCTCCTCCTCCTCCTCCTCCTCCTCCTCCTCCCTCATCCTCCTCTCCTCGCTCCTCCTCCTCCTCCTGCCGAACTGCTTCGCGCACGCACGCGACGGCCCCCCCCCCCCCCCTGGGCACGCGCCGGCCCCAAGCTGCCGCTGGGGAGCGCCGCTCCGCGGGCCTTCTCGGGCGCCGCGAGAGGCGAGCACGCCGGAGGAGTACGGCCGAGGGGGCCAAGGGCGGAGGGCGGGAGCTAGGTGGCTCCCACCGTTCTCTCGGGGCCGGATCCCAAAGGTAGTTCCGAGCACCCAGACATGTTTCGAAACGGTGTCGAAGGAGTGTCGCCTTCGTGGGCCCGACACGTGAAAGCGTTCAGAGTTTGTACTTTCTTGGTGCTCGAAGGTCTTGATGGCAGGCCAGGCTGAAGCAGGTTGGAAAATCACAAGGCAGGAGTGGAAAGGGGAGGAAAGGGAGGGGCGGGGGAGGGTGCTCGGTTCAGAAGGGGGCCGAACAAGCCCGCCCAAGAGACCCTGACCTGACCCAGACCCCCCCCCACGTCATGATTTGTTCATGACCCGACCCCCAGAGATTCGGACCCATTCCCCGGGACCGGCTTTTCATCCTGAGCCGTTTTTTGAAGGTCCCGAGGCCCGGGAAGGACCCCCAGAGGCCGCCAATTGCGAAAGACCTCGCGTCGCTTTTTTCTCGCAGCGCGAGGGGGTCTGGGCAGGCAGCTGCGGGAAGGGAGGGATCCTTCCTCAGGGGCCAGCCTGGGGCAGAGTGGTCCTCGTCCCTCTCCGCCGGGGGCTGCCGTGAGTGGCGGCGGCCCGCTCGCGCTCGGCCTTGGCCCCGCTGTGTGTGCTGGTCGCTGTCGGCCGCTCGTTCGCCTGCAGGGGGCGTGCGTTGAGGAGTGTGCCCAGGAGGCTTCAGACCCAGACCCCTTCGGCGCATGAAAAGATCACGACGGGAGGCTTTTCACCATTTCCGGCCTGCGGGGGCCCTTCTCGGGCCTCGGGAGCGTCAGACAACGACTCAGGATGAGAAACCGGTCCCGGGGAACGGGTCCGGACCTTTGGGGGTCGCGTCATGAACAAAAATCATGACGTCGGGGTCTGGGGACCCTGGAGGATTCCTTATCTGGTGAGGGCGACGGTGATATTCAAGCTTTGGCATCGCTCGGACGTGTGCACTCTTCCTTCGGCGAGGACCATCGAGGAGCATCCTTCATCATTTGGCAAAAAAACCACGCACGAAACCAAAAAAACACAGGAAATGAACGTCCGAGCGATGGCCAGCCAGAGGCTTGCGCCGTTCCGCCAGCCCCCAGGAGAGGGATGAAGTCAACGGGTGAGGCCATTGGAGGCCTCTTGGGGACCCTCTGGTGGGCCTCTTATGGGGGCATCTTCGGGCCTAGTTGGAATTTTTGTTGGACGCCTGCTGGCGGTCTCGGGGGTCCTCTTGGGGCGGAGGGCTCGGACTGCCAGTCCGAGTAACATCTCTTGGGCCCCTCTTGGGCCTCTCTTAAACCATCTTGGGCGCCTCTTGGGACCCTACTCGGCCGTCTTGGGGCCCTCTGGGGGGTTTCGTGGGCCGTCTTGGAGCGATCGCTCAAAATATATGTCACCCCTTGGGATTTGGACGATTCTTGCTTCTTGAGGCCCTCTCGGGGGTCGTCTTGGAGCCCTCTTGGGGCGTCTGGAGGCCTCTTGGACAGTCTTGCGGCCACCTTGGTCGTCTTTGAGGTCTCCTCGGCGTGTTGGAGCGGGGTCTGAGCCAGCTTAGATGGCATCTTTGGCATCCTGGAGGCCACGGAATGTAGATTTGGAGATTTCGGGGGCCCCGGGGATGCGTCGACGAGGTGGTCCCCCCACCCAAACCCCACCCCACCCCCCAACCTCCCACCTTCTTATCGGATTTCAGACCCCTGGGGAGTTGGGAAAGGGGGAGGGGGGCAGCCAATCATCCCACACCGTTAGCACCCTCAACATCGGCGTTCCACTTGCTTTCAGGCCCTGGATTCCTTGTCCACGGGTTCCTTATCCAATGCCCTCAGCGACGAGGCAGCAGGCCCTGAGTTTGCCAGGCGTGGACGGCGCCCTCGCCGCCCACGGCTTTGGCTTCGGCCGAGGTGGCGATGGAGCGTGATGGGCTTGTATTCCACAACCACCACCATAAGTTGGAGGGGGAGGGGGTCCTCCTCCTCCTCCTCCTCCTCCTCCTCCTCCTCCTCCTCCTCTCCTCCTCCTCCTCCTCCCCCTCCTCCCTCTTCCTCGTCCTCCTCCTCTCCTGCTCTGCTCCTGCTTCTGCTCCTCCTCCTCCTCCTCCTGCTGCTCCTCCTCCTCCTCCTCCTCCTCCTCCTCCTCCTCCTCCTCCTCCTCCTCCTCCTCCTTCGTCCTCCTCCTCCTCCTCCTCGTCCTCCTCTTCCCTCCCCCCTCCAACTTATGGTGGTGGTGGGTGGGAAACAGGACCAACAGCGAGGGCGCCGGGCGGTAGAACCAGCAAGGCGGAGCGGACAAAAGGGGCAAGGGCTGCCCGCTCCGCCCTGCTGGTTCTACCGCCCGGCGACCTCCCTCTGTTGGTCCTGTTTCCCACCCACCACCACCATAAGTTGGAGGGGGGAGGGAAGAGGAGGACGAGGAGGAGGAGGACGAAGAGGAGGAGGAGGAGGAGGTGGAGGAGGAGAGGAGAGGAGGAGGAGCAGGAGCAGGAGCAGGAGCAGGAGGAGGAGGAGGAGGAGAGAGAGGAGGAGGAGGAGGAGGAGGAGGAGAGGAGGAGAGGAGTGGAGGGGGGGGGGCCTGGTGGGCGCTCCGAAAGGAACTCGCGAAGCCCCCGCCCCAAAGCGGCCCTCGCCGAGGCGAAGCCGTGCCCTGTCGCCTCGCTGGCGTGTCAGCCGTGCGGCTGGCCAGCCGTGCCACTACTTTCTCGTGGCCCTAAAGGACTCTTCGGGCCAAGGAAAATCTGATGAGATTGTTGTTTGTAAGTAAGCCTTCGTCCGCGGACCAATGGCGGTACAAAAAAATGCCCGCACCGTACTACAGGGGGGGAGGGGCCTGGCCACCTAAAAAGCATGGGGAACACCAAGAGGGGAAGTGGGGGGCGCGGAGGAGCAGCGGGCGCTCCGAGCCCGTCCCCCGGCTGCGTGCCCGAGGTCCGGACCGAGCAGTGGGCCGCGTTCATGGACGAGGTCCGAGGGCTCGCGGGGAGCCTCCTCCTTCTCTTCTTCCTCCTCCGCTTCTTCCTCCTCTCCTCCTCGATATCCTCCTACTCCTCCTCCTGCTCCTCCTCCTCCTCTTCCTCCTCCTCCGTAGCCATTGGCTCAAGGGCAATCCGCTCCCGACGGTTACACATCATCCGCACCCTTTCGCTCTGCTGGGATTTCCGCGCGGCTCCTGGATGCTCAGGCAGCGCGGCGCACGATGCCAGGATGACGATGGTCGAAAGGACCCGGTGTTGTGCACCCTCTCGCTTTCTGTTCCGAGGCGGTGCTCATCTTCGAGAACTACCAGACCACCGATTTCACTGACGTGCGAGGCGGTATGCTTGGCGTGGAGCACATGCTGAGTGGCAAGGCGAAGAACCGGATCCAGAAATACAGCGATGCGTATTCGGGTGCTGCTAGAAGTTACCCCTGGCCCAAGGTACCCGCAGGATTCTCGGGGTGGCCCAGACGGCCTCCAGGGCAACCCTCACGGGGCCCAGAGGGCCCCAGGGGCTCCAAACTGGAGCGACAAGCTGGGGGCACCTTGGGCCAGGGGCACGTCTAGCAGCACCCGACATACACGCTGGCCCGCCAGCTCACGGAGCAGCGAGCAGACGTCCTGCCCGACGCCAACGAGGAGCTGGCTGCCAGTAGCTGGGTGCTGCCCGTGGAAAGGCCAGAAGAGGTCACGGTCGAGGTTGACGATGACCCCCGCCGCATGCAGTTATCGGAGGTGGGTAGACCTCCTACCCTGACACGTCGATTGAGGAATTGGCCGTTTTCGGTTCGCGAGAGGGCGTCGCGGCCGTCATTTTTGCGGGTCCAGGTCCGTCGGTTTCCGTCCCAGGCCGTTTTCATGAAGGGGTCCACCGCCGAAATTAGCAACAGATTGAGGACCTTGCCCATTCGGTTGAGATCATCGCCGTGCAGCTCCAGGCCTTCACCCCGCAGGCTGAGCAGGAGGATGTCCTGTGTGTGCCGCTGGACGCGGTGCCGTGCTTTTGACTCCTGCGGCGACTGCACCGGCGAGCCGGAGCTGTCCGGCGCCATGCCGAGGGGACACGGCGCCTCGCGCACAGGTCCGAGGGATGCAGCTTTCCATCGAGGGCTCCTTCGCTCGCGCGGCCCGCCAGCAGAAGAACGATACATTGTCGAAGATGGTGTCAGAGGCGCTCTCGGAGGTGAATGCGAGTCTGAGAGAGTGCTGCGCGATTGCTGGATATTTTCCTTCAGGGTACTTCGGTGTTCTGCACGGCGCAAGTGTTGCTCGATACTCTGAATGTGCTATATGTTCCCTGCTGTTGTCAAACACGCGAGGAGGGCGTGCGCTCCTCCTCCTCCTCCTCCTCCTCCTCTTCCTCTGGGAGCGACGGGGGAATTCATTGTCAGACCTCCAACGTTTTGGAACATCAAGGCGGGATTGTTTCTCGTAAGTCTCGACGCCTAGAGGCTCGGGGCTGTCAGAAATCGATCGGGTATGTAGATCGGGTCCCCGGGAAACTGTCCAGGGATCTGGGGATGGATCCCCGCATTGGAAAAAATACCTTGGCGAAGGGCACGGACAGATGCAGTCGTGAGTACCGCCCCCGGTAGAGCTCCCTGTGGGGCCACGGAACGTGTGAGGGGTGCGCCGACATGGGCTGGGGGGCCGCACGCAGGCCTTGCCACAGGAGCTTTCGGTGGAGCTCCCTGTGGGGCCACGGAACGCGTGAGGGATAGAGGGACAGAAGGAGGAGGAGGAGGAGGAGGAGGAGGAGGAGGAGGAGGAGGAGGAGGAGGAGGGCAGAGGCAAGGGAGAGAGGGTGGGGGCAGAGGCGACGAGGAGCGGGCGCGGGGCGCCGTCTTCTCAAAAAACGAGGGCCCAGCACCACAGGACTGTGGGGGACGAGGCATTGGATCGGGGGTGGACAGAACCCCCAACAGTGACACGTCGATTAGTGACTTGTCCGTCTTCGGTTCTCGAGATCGCGCCGTGGCCGTTATTTTCCAGGCTTGCGCCGGCCAGGTTTGGGCCTCGGGTCGTCTTCACTAAACCACGTTTTGCTAAAGGGGGGTCTGTCCATCCCCGATTGGAGGTTTGGTGGATCGGACTTCAGAGCATATGGGGGCGGGGTCGCAACCGTTGCCGACGCAACTGTGGGTATCGCTGCAGATCCCGCACGTGTCATAGGAGCACTTCCAGCGTTGACGTTGCCCTATACGATTCGCTTGGAGCAGTGCCAAGAATGGGGTAAGTGGATCTAGAACTAAGCCGGGCCTGTCCCTCTACGGGAGGAAAACTCAAAAATTCATCAAAACATAGTCTGGGGACGATGTTTTGAGTATGTTTGAACATGCTGGGGGTATGTTTTGACTATTTCAATTGTTTTGCCCAGAAATCCTCCTGTAGGGGGACAGGCCCGACCTAAACCTAGATCCAGGTATCGCGTCTTGTGATCTGGGCGCAGCTCTCGCTGCGCCTCGGCCAGCTGCTAGCACAGTTTCGCGTCTGTTCGATTATTGTTGATGTCATCCAGACCCACGCGAGGAGAAGTGACCTGTGCTATTCGCTATAGTAATGGAAGCTGGTATTCCCAACGCTAACGACCCACATAAAAAAGAAACCAAATCTTTTATAAGCCCTAGCTTAGCAGCAGGAGCAACATTGCCGTCCACCCTACAAACATCGGGTGCACCCAGAGCGGACTGAAACTGTCAATCCACATCGGGCGACTGGACGTTTGCAGTGTGGACGGCTGGCAGGACAGGGGAGCAAATAGTGTGTTTCAAGATGACAGTTCCATTCCCCCCCTGATCCTGCCAGCCGTCACTGTTCGAAGCTGGACTGTGGCCGCGCTGTCGCAGACCAGTCGATCTTGGGCAAGAGGCGCTACTCCCTCACCCACCCATCCTTCCAGCTGCTCGCAGCAAGTGTATTAGTCCCCTCCAGTTTGGAAGATGGCCGAAGAGGGATCACGCAGAAGTAGAGCCAGATGTCCTCGCTTACAATCATGATCCCCCTCTCATCCCCTTCTCCTTCTTCCCTCCCTTCGATGCTCGGGGATCTCGCTCCTTCAACCTCTGCTGGCTACCGCGCACTGTTGTGTGCTGGCAGGTCCCGCTGCAACTGCCAGCGAGCTTCCGGATCGATGTGGGACCCAGGACGCTTCCAGCCAGGCTACAAGCGGGGGCGCGAATCTCATCGGACTTCTACTTCCCGCGTCGTGGTTTAGGCCAGAGCGGCTGCCCTTTTCCGGGGGGGGGGCGCTAGGGCGCGAAGATATTTAGTCGTTGTGCATCGCGGCGCGCGAAGCCAGGTGCTCTAGATGAGCGCCGCCTGCTCTAGAATAGCGCCATCCGCGCACACCCTGGGCGCCCCGCCACCCCACGCGCAGAGGGGGGTAGGGGGAGGGGGGATGGCTTCTTAGAAGCACCCCTGCTTCTCAGAAGGCGCGGGCCCTCTCTGTAGCTGTAGGACCAGCGCCTTCTAAGAAGCAGCCTCCCTCTAAGAAGCCCCCCCTCGCCCCCCTGCCCCCTCCTGCGCGCTGCGAACCATCGGCGGAGGCCAACATCTCGCCGAACCGCTCCACCTTCTGCGCCCTCGTGACCGCCGCCCAGCGGGCTCATGAGAGCCGCCGCCCGCCTGGCCCGAGCTCTCCGTGGGCGGACGAGGAAGGGGAGGGAGGAGGAGGAGGAGGAGGAGGAGGAGGAGGAGAAGGATGAGAAAGAGGAGGAGGAGGAGGAGGAGGAGGAGGAGAAGAAGAAGGAGTTGGAGGAGAAATAGGAGGAGGCGGAGGAGGAGGAGAGGGAGGAGGAGGAGGAGGAGGAGGAGGAGGAGGAGGAGGAGGAGGAGGAGGAGGAGGAGCGGGACAAGCTAGGTGCGCTCGCGTCATATCTGACGTTCTACCCCTCTCCCATCCCTTACAATGGCATAGATATCCTTTCTATTCGCACAGTCGAATGTCGAGCAGGGCAATGATCCCGAGCGGGTGCGCGATGCATCGTAGAGTAGGGCATAGCTGGGCGTAGAAGAGCACGGCATAGCGTAGTATGTCCTAGCATGGTGTGGCGTTGCGTAGTGAAGACTTGCATCACAAAGCATTGCAACGCAAAGAATGGCATCGCACAGCGGCACATTACAGAACATGGCATAGCATGACGTTGAATATCACAGCATACCGTGGCATAGCATGGCGTGGCAATGCGTAGTCAAGCACTGCAGATCTCAGCATTGCAGCTGAAGGCATGGCATCGCACAGCGGAACATCACATAGCATTACATTGCATGCCGTGACATGGCACCGGAAATGATAACGCCAGCGTTGCAGCGGGAGCACGATTCGGAACGAGCGGGTCATCAGGGGGAGAGGAGAGTAGTATGCATATCATATAATTGGTGAGGAGGAGGAACAGAGGGAGCAGCAGGAGAAGGAGGACATGAGGAGAAGGAGGAGGAGGAGGACCAGAGCAAGCCCAAGACGCATCAGCGAAAAGGAGGAGCAGGAAGAGGACCAGTGCAAGCCCAAGACGTATCAGCCATGTTGCATTAAACCCTCCCTCCAAGTTCCCTCTTTACAGGTTCCCGAGAGTAAATATTCATTCTGGGAAGTGACCCATTACAAGACAACCGTTCGAGATTTCTCATCATTGCCAAGAGCGTGCCTTGGTTTCCAACGCCGCGGAACAACATGACTGGTGCGTCCTGGCAATCCAGAACCACGACAGAACACCACGCATCAGAGTTCAACACCGTGAATTAGCATGACTGATGCGCTATATCAATCCGAAACCATGCCAGAACAGTCTTGGGACTTCGACAATCTGACTCATTGAAACGGTTGCGAAGTTGTAAGACGCATGCGCGTGGCGTTGAGGCAATAATAATGCTGTGGAAAAGGAGGCGCCTTCCATGTGCAAACTGTTAATGCGAATGAGCGCGGCGTTAAGGCGATAGCCATATTTTGAAAAGCCGCCCGCCCTCCATCATTGAAACTGCTGCAAACGTT